GGGAAGCAGGAGTTGGGCAGCATGCAGCATCATGTATCTCTAGTTTGCACTGTAGAAACATTTCCATACCACCCCACAGCTTGTTTGGGGCTTCAGAGAAGGAGCAAGTGCTGTAAAGAGCTTAATGGGCAGCAGCATCTTCCCTTCGCTTCTCCAGGAGGTTTACGATGCTGGAGAAGATCCCTGAAAAAGTCACCAAGTACATCTACGAGGAGATAAGCGTGTATCTGTGCCACCAAACACAACGCTTAACTTTTGCAGAAGTTTAAAGAATTCCAGTCACTTGTTTGAGGGAAATAAGTTTCATTTTTGGTTTGTGTGTGCACTTCCGGATTCCTGCTGGGACTGGGGGACCGGTCCAATATCCGGGGAGGTCAGTGTAAGGACTTGGAACCTGATGAAGTAGTGCCGGAATACTAAGAGGGTGGCTTGATCGGGGAAAGAAGCCTTGGTAGTCAATCATGAAATCCTCCCTTAGGAATATTTCCAGTTTGACCTTGCATCCCTGAGATGCTCTGGTTGAGCAACTGAACATTTGGGTGCTTAACCATGCCAATCCCCTGCACCTTTAGTGTTTATTCCATTATTAGAGCGGACAATAATAATAGGCCAAATCATGCAGTCTTAAATTTTTGCCTTGATCAGGCAAAAATCCCATGGAAATTCAGGGGAGATGCGATTGGTCAGCACCTGTGAAGATCACGCCTCTCTCTCCAGATCACCAGTCTCTATCCATAGCTCTTTAACTAGGATTAACTAGAGAGTCTGCTCACTCCCAAATAAACTCTAATTTTGCACTGGGTACCACCAGCAGATTTTCAAAGGAAGTGGAGTGGAGTTATTCAGGGAGAGAGGGGAGATGGTCAGAATGACAGGGTAGGACAATGATCTTTGTAGCAGCATTCTGAATGGATGTGAGCAGGGCAAGATGGCATTTGTCAGAGGAAAGGATATTGCTGTCATCGAGACATGAGCTTATGAGGGTCTGGGTGAGCGTTTTAGCCGTGAGGATGGATAAGGAAGTCCGTATCTTAGAGATGTTGTGCAGAAAGAATCTTCAAGATTTAGACACAGTCCGGATGCGAGGAACTAGAGAGGCCCAAATAGAAGATGTTGGTGTTGTCTGAGAAAGGAAACAGTGGGGACAGGCATGGGGAGGAAATTCAAGAGCTTTGTTTTAGCCATGTTCAGCTTCAGCTGACACTAGACATCAACAAGGACACGTGAGAGAGGCAAGCTGACGTTTGAGTTCAGACAAAAGGAGACAGGTCTGGTGTAGAGAGGTGGATCAGTGAGGAGTCAGCCTGGAGCTGGCAGCTGAATTTGTGGAGAGAGAAGGTATAGAGAGAGAAGAGAAGAGGACCAAGGACTGAGCCCTGTGGAACCCTCCCAGAAAGCTGGAGGGAAGGGGATGAGGAGCCTCCTCTGAAGGGATGCTGAGGGAACAAGCAGAGCGGTAGGAGGAGAACCAGGAAAGGACAGAGTGACAGAAGCCATGGAACCCAGGCTAAAGAGGGCCATATAAGTACCACAGACAGAGAAATGTGGATGAAACTGTTGGCCTCATATAGAATGAAAGGATTTAGAGTCAGTAAAACAAACTCAGGAAAAGATTGTGAGGTGCTTAGATACGATGGTAGAAGAGGCCGTAAAAGCACCATCAGTCAACAGCTGTGGATGAAACTGTTGACCCTATACAGACGCAAAGGACTTACGGGCAGTAATTCCCCGAATCAGTTGCTTTGGAACAAAGAACGGCGCTTTTGTACCACCATTGCCTGCACTGTTGCTGGTCTCTCTAAGGAAGAAAAAAAATTCTTGCAGAGGTACAGGGTGCGTGATGAATGGCAGCCAGGCTTCTATCCAAGGAAAGGGTTTAAAAAAAAAAAACTTTCACAAAAGAAAGTTGCCTTTTGAAACTATTAGGTAGCATATGTTGTGTGAACAGGAAGTCACAGCGGAGCAATAATCCTGGCAGCTGTGGAGAAACAGGAGCCTGCTGCAAGAATGAATGACTCGAGACCTGACAAGAATGATGATGGATGCCCCGTTGGTTGTACACGAGGATGAGGCAAGAGCCATTTAAACTGGCTGAACCACAGGGACAACTTGGAGATGGCATTGCAGCCGGACAAGCTGGCCTAGCGCTAATGGTGCTGAGGCAGAGGGGTAGCACAGGGGCTTACAGTTCTGGGTGTCCTGAGCAGAGCCTCACAACTGGACCTGCAGCCATCACGCAGCTGATTAGTTTCATTGGCACTGCTCTCACAAAGAACCAGGCCCAAGGCCCTAGCTGTTTGGGTCATTAATGACTGTTTTGCACCTTTGGTAAGAGCAGGAGTGATAATTCTGTGGCGCTGGTCAAATTGCAGTCTGGTCATTTGGAAATGGATTGTTCCTTGCTTCCTACCTCAAAAGGAAGATTCTGAGAAAAAACAGGACGCAGCAAGAAAACAGATGAGCGGTCTCCAAGGGATCTATGCTCATTAACACCAGCTGGGGATCTGGTCTTTGATCCATAACATTCTCCCAGGAATGCTTTCTGCTGACCCTTTGCTCTCTGTTCACCTTCCCCCGTGGCCCACTTTCCTTTCTCATTGTGTTACCCATCTCACTCTGACTAAGCTTAGTGGGGTGAAATCCTGCGTCCACTGAAATCAATGGCAAAACTCCCATGGACTACAGTGGGGCCAGGATCAAACCCCTGATGTTCTCATTTGCCTGAAAAAACACATTACCCTCGCCCCCCAACGATGCCATACAAATAATAAATGCTAATTTTTCCTCCACTTTCAAGAGGTTGCAGTATACTTCTCCACTTCCTGTCTAATTTTTCAGTGTAGTATTGCTGTGTGCTGTTAAACAGCTGGCACGTTCTACCCCTGAGGTGGCTGTATTCTCTCTCTCTAGGGCCCAATCCTGAAAGATGCTGAATGTCCTTCAGCTCCATTGAAATGGATGGGTGCTGAGGTTGCTTGTGGGCTTGGTCCTGTGGGATTGTGGGGTTGCTTGTGGGACTTGTAAAGCACTTTGGAGTCCTTCTGGATGCAAGGCACTACAGAGAGTAAAGCTAAAGTTATAATGCCTTCTAAGTAGCCACAGGTTTGGTTATTCAAGGATATTTCAGGCACAAGTAGTTGACAGAAATGGTAATAACCCTCTGGTGTAAGTGAACAGGAAAAACGATTGAGGCAACGGTCCAAATTCTGCACTGACCTTCACCCTGAGAAACTCAGCTGATTCACTGGGGTGGCAGAGGAGAAATTCAGTGCAAACTCTGACCCCTAATGCACAAGAGATAGATCTGAGTGGTGAGGGATGATGAGGAAAAAGGAAGACGGCAGGATAACAGCTGGACTGGTGGTGAGCTGTATTTTGTGCACAGCTCGGCTACATGACAACATGCTCATATTACCCTCTTCCTTTCCTCCAGCCCCCACCTGTGGTTCCCCCCACCCACCTCTTGCATCTTGTCTTTAACAAAGATTGTAAGTCTCTTGGGGACTGTCTCCTTGCTACATGTGTGTACAATTCCGAGCCCAGTGAGACCCTGATCCCTGACTGGGGTCTGGGAGCGCTATCTTGAGAGATTTGTAGATTTTAAGGCCAGAAGGGGCCATTATGATCAACTAGTCTGACCTTCTGCATAACACAGATCAGAGAATTTCATCCAGTGGTTCTTTCATCAAGCCCATAACTTTTGGTTGAGCTACAGCAGGGCTTTTAGAAAGAGACGGCCAATCTTGATTTAAAGACTTCAAATGATGGAGAATCCACCACATCCTTGGGCAAGTTGTTCCAATGATTAATTACCCTCACTGTTAAAAATGTGCACTTCATTTCTTTTCTGAAGTTGTCGAGCTTCGGCCTCCAGCTATCGGATCTTGTTCTGCCTTTGTTTACTACACGAAAGAGCTCTCTCCTATCTAAAATCTTCTCTCCTCGTAGATACTTGTAGACCAGGATCCAGCCACTTCTTAACATTCTCTTGGATGAACAAAAGAGATCAAGCTTTTTAAGACTCTCATTCTAAGGCAGGTTTTTCTAGATTTCAAATCATCCTTGTAGCTCTTTTCTGAACCCTTTCCAATTTGTCAATATACTTTTTTATCCTCGTAGTATTTATCCTATTGGTAATTAGTAATAAAAGTCACAAACCAATAATAATAAAGCAAAAAATGTTAGGCCAAATTGTCTCTCCCTAAGGTTACTAAATTGTGCATTCTCCTCTGTGTAAGGCAGGTGTGTGTGTGTGTGTGTGTGTGTGTGTGTGTGAGTCAGTGTCAGAGAACGAGCCAAATAAGCCTTCCATGTTTTCCCCAAATATCAGGCTGGAACCTCAACCCTACCGGGCGTTTGTCCAAATGGAGTGATCTGAGGTTGATGGCCAGGAAGACTCTAAATATCTTCACAGCTCTTTTAATTCTAAGCTGTAGAGAGGAGGATAAGAACCGCATTTTGCACTTTTCGGTGGTTGCATGGAGGTGCAAATCAGAGTACTGCTTGGCTCTAAATTCTGCTTCTGTCATATTTGTGTGCTTTTCTCTGCTTTGAACACCAAAAAGGCTCCTCATTGTTCCCATATAGACCGTTATTCCTTGGCAAAGAAAAAGCATTTAGACACTGGCAACAAGCCTGAATCATCCCTTGGCAACCAGTGGGGTTACCCCAGGGATAAATCTGGCCCAGCTGGTACAACATTTATGACTGTGTGTCTTTGCAGACAATCAAAACTCTATCATTACTGGTCATGGGACACTGCGCCTCTTGAGCTCACATGTCTGTGAAACGATATCAGTGCCACCCTGGCCTTTTAATTGAGTGGCTAAACAAACCCGAGGCCCCACACGCCTCAGCTGCTATCTATTTTTCCTGGAAGAAGATTCAGAAAGCACTAATAAATCATCAGCCCTTCCTCCCCTCGCCCCTTCATCAGGCCTCTGGGCAGCGTGGGCAGAATAGACCCACAAGGCGTTCTCCTCCATTAGCCTGCTACTCACCGGCATTGTCTGGCTGCCATGCAAGGCGTTGATGGCTGCTTGGGCCTCTGCATGCGAGGAGTATTTCACAAATGCACACCCTGCAAGAGGAGGGAGAGGAAAGAGAAGGGTTTTTAAAAACAGAGATCAGGCAGCAGCAGGCGCTAACCGCGGCCAGCCACGCGAAGGGGATTTACTCTATTGAAAACCCACATGGCTCTCCTATCTACATCAATTATTTGCTATTTGTAGAGTGCCACAGATGGGCATCACCCATTACAGTCCATAAGTGCTCATCTCTGCCCCAAAGAGCTTGTGGTGATGACTTTTGACGCGAGAGGTGAGAACAGGAATTGTATTTATGGGATGGCCACCACCTTGGCCAAGGCCAGCTATAGAACCTTGGACTTCCAGCACTAAATAGCAAGTGTCATGACCACTTGAGCTGGAGAGCCATTTCTTGGAGCTGTGGGCTGCAACAGAGTCACATCCTCTGTGTGTCAGCCAGAGAGAGGACACACAACACACAAAGGTCTGGGGGTTACATTTAGGCATTCAGAGGTCATTTCTCTTAGCCTCTTCTAGCCCGGTTTGGGGGCTGAGTGGTGAATTTGTATGTAGGCATTTCAGGTACTAGCGTGATGAGCACCATATCATAACTTTACCCAGGAGTAAGCCCTGTGTCGGGGCAGGGAGAGTCACATCATCAGTATGGAGAAGGTATTACCAGAACTATTTGAATTGACACAGAAGAAGATAAGAGATGTGCTGACTTTCACATAAGCAATGGCCGAGGTGAGAAAACCCCCAGAAGTCCCGGCTTTCAACCCTTTCTCATACTACCTGGCTATCCTCCCACACATACCCCTGAGGATTACAAAAGAGGCTATTGAAAGCATGGGAGTTAAAAACACAGTTTTTTTGGAGGGGGGGGGGGAGAGAAACAAGCCCAACCCTAAAATGTAATTGGGAACCTGTAAAATTTTCCCCAAAAGCTCAGACTGCCTCTCAGGGGGAGTGCAGCAATTGTTGTTAGAGGGGTCTAATTTATAAGGGGCTAAGGGGAGACCATCATGAGAAAGTGAGATAGATAAACTTCAGCTGGAAACAATAAGGATCGATTATCAAATAATCACAGACCAGCATTCCTGGACTCCTGAGATACTTCACCTTCCTTTTCACTAATCAGAGATAATCCAGAATCAGGGTGTTTAAGTATTTGCAGAGATTCTTTTGCACTTTCTGCCTCTAAAAAGAGGATGATTAGCAAGTATACAAAAGCTTTCCAGGTCTAATAGCCCTGAATTTTGGCTGCAGCTGTCAAACTGTGTTCCTTTGTCTCTTGGAGTGAAATCCACCCTCTCTGCACAAAGCCTCAATCAGTGGGAGCTATGCAAGGGTTGGAGGAGATAGAATTTCCCCTGTTCAACCCACAGGGTGTCAACACAACCTCTCTGCCGCAGTCATTCCCTGTTGGGTTTTGAGGTAAGGGTTAACTGAGGCCTTGGCTACACTCGGGAATTCACAGCACTGCCACGGCAGCGCTGTGAAGCGCGAGTGTAGTCGCATCGCCAGCACTGCGAGAGCGCTCTCGCAGAGCTGTATGTACTCCACCTCTCCGAGGGGAGTAGCTTGCAGTGCTGCGAGCGAGCGTGCAGCGCTGCAGGCTCTGATTACACGGGCGCTTTACAGCGCTGCACTCGGTGGGGGGGGGGCGTTTTCACACCCCTGAGCGCAGCAAGTTGCAGCACTGTACAGCGCCAGTGTAGCCAAGGCCAGAAATTCTTGCTCTGGACAAAGGACCAATGGTAGTTAGGCACCTGAAATGCAGATAGACGTCTAGAGGAATTTTCAAAAAGCACCTCTGCACCCACCTCCCATTGAAATAAATGAGTTAGGCACTGAAGGCGCTTTTGAAGTTTGCTGCTTGCAAATTCAGGTGCCCAAATGTCTTCAAAGGTGCCTGATTTTTAGTTTATCACTTCCTGAAAAATCAAGGTCCCCCCTCAAAGGTGTTGAGATCCTCTGCAAGTCCCTCAAACAGAGGCACCCAATACCGTTAAACACTTGAAAATGTAGGGCCAGCTACTCAGCAGGGGCTACACTGATTTAATCCATCTGAGGATTTGGTTCCTAATATCTAAGCAGTATAAGAAACCGCATAGAATAGAATAGAATAGAAAAACAGCCCAAAGTGCACTATAGGCATCATCAGATGGTGACAGCAGCAGCAGCACGTCCCATGGGTATCACCACTGGAGGTCTCTGCTGGGACAGCTCACCCTGATATGCTAGTGGGGAAGAAATGGAACAACATGCAGGAATTTGGGGGGGAAATATTGTGTACTCTTTGCCAAATGAAGTGAAACATGCAGTATACAAAAAACGGCAACAACGCAATAGACATTATATGTGGTGGTGTTTAAAAACATATCAAAATAAATAAGCTGATTAAATGCATAAAAATGGAATGGAGAAAAAGGCCCAACATATTGATTATTTGTCTTCCTGTAGCGCCTCGAGAGTCCGGAGAAGATCAGGGCCAATGAGATGATTGCTGGACACCATACTAACACCTAGGAAGACTCAGTCCCTCCCCCGAAAGGGGTGCACTCTAAATAGATGGGACAAGCAAAAGGTGGGAGAAAGGAAGTATCATCAACTGCATTTACAAATATCGTTTACAGATGGGACCCTGAGGCCCAGAGAAATTAAGGGTCACGCTCAAAGTCACACAAAAACCCAGTGATAAACTGAAGCCAGATCTCCTGAGTCTGAGTCAAATGCCTTAATTACAAGCCATTCTTCTACTCTGAGGCCTTGTCTGTTACTTCGTATGCAGCAAGCGGGGGTGTAAATCTCTAGCACGCTAGCTCACTGCACAGAACTGTCCATGTGGACCCTGCACATTAAGAGTTCCCCGTGCAGTTTGACATTCTGCTGTGAGGCCTTGTCTTGGCTCGGCTAGAAGGCATGTTAGCACATTTTAGCTCACATGTGCTAACCAAAAGTCTAGTGAGATCAGGGGCAGTGTATTCTTTGACATGTGCTGAGCTGGTTGAGATGGAGCCCCGGCTCTCTTGATGACCTTGAGCTGCTAACACATATTAAAGTACAGCTGCCTTGTCGAACCCCTTTTTTCCCTAGGGTAGACATGGCCCAAATCCTACTTTAGACAAGGCCTTAGAAGAAGAAAACACTGTGAGAATGATTGTGTCCTGAAATAACTAGTTCTTCCAGGGAGATGTATCACACTGGCCTCTGGCGTGTGGAGTAGCAGCTTACCTGGAGTTCCTGCTAGCTCTTCCCCACATCTAACTGTCTCATAAGATAAGACAGCTACCCTTCGCTTCCCTGTTGGCTGGCTGCTCTGTGTGTGTAAATCAGGAACCTCACAGCTTCCGTAAATAGCACCAGCAAATGGAACCTGGTAATATTAACTCTGTCAAGGCTCAGTATTGATCCCGAATAGCTTTTTGAAAAGCAAGGCTGAGACTTGTGCTAATAATTAAACTGGTTAGCAATATGGAGCTGCCACTCAAGTTCAGGTTGTAAAAAGAGAGAGAGCGAGAGGGAGAGAGAGCAGGAGGGACTAAGTCTCTAGGGCTGTGTCCTCCTTGGAACCAGCTGCTGACAGAGCTCAGTGATTATTGCCTTTATTATTACTGAGGTTTGATTCCTTTGTGGTTATCTTTTATGCTTGACAGCTTTGGGTGAGTGCAGCGGGGCACTTGAATTTCCTGCTTTCCCTTATCCCAACTGTTTTTTTCCAATTAATGGAGTGTTTAACCTCATAAAATCAGTAGGGGTGGAGCCCCTCCTGGTTAGCTAAGTCTGTCCCATTCCAGTCTGGCTGGTTTTTCCTCCCCACTTTATATAATATAGTTAGTTGAAAAATATATTCCCCCCTCCTCAAAATGGGGAAAATCGGTCCCCTTTTTTCCCTACTGAAATTCAAAACTTTGATGACATTTTTCATTGAAATTTGAAATTGTTCAGCTGCGGCTAGAGCGGGTCATATAACAGGGCGGAGTTTGTCCACGAATATTTATGTGAAAAAGGACTCCCAAACTTTCTGTTTTGGTCAAAACTTCGATGAAAAATTGAATTCGAAAATTGAAATTCAGAAAATTTTGATCGGCTGTATTTGTCAACCACCCGTAAAAAACTGATAAATGGGATTGTCAGCACTTCACTGCCTTGTCCTTTGGCGTCTCCAAGCGTGCAGTGACTGAGGTGATTTTTCAGCTTTCTCCACCTACACTAACCAACTCTGTTTACTAAAGCAATAGACAAGAAAGCACTCATGTTCTGTCTGTCAGCAAAACAAACCGTGCACTGAAGAAAAGCACTGTCATTCTTGGGATACCTGGGTTCAATCCCCTGCTTTGCCCAGACTCCCTGTGCGACCAAGGGCATGTCACTTAGCTTCTCTCTGCCTCAGTTCCTCATCTGTAAAATGGGGGTGACAGCACTACCCTGCCTCACAAGGGTGCTATGATGCAGAGACAAAGGCCTGAGTCCTGTCCCCTGTTATCACAAGAAACTACTACATGCCTTACTGTATATCCTCGTAGGCTGCCTCTGTCCCAGATTTCAATAGCTCCACCAGTGGGGCTTCTAGTCCTTTCTTCAGAGGACTTTCCTCAGTGATCTTATTGCCAGGAAGTGTTTTCCTGAATTCCAGAAGAAATTTCCTCTTTGTTCCATTTCATCCCCAAGTTCCTCAACTAACTCACCCTAAAAAGTTCTGCCACATACAGACTGTCAACTACAGCGGGTCAAAAAATGGAAACAAAAATTTTGACACGGAGAATTTCAAGCCAATTTATTTCAAACTTGTGAAAATGTCTAACCAGTTCTGCTGTTTGGCATTCTTTGGATATTTGTCACCAGTGATCACCATGTGTAATTAACTTCACAGACATCAGACATACCGCGTCGCATGGCTGCTTGGACATCATCAGGAGGGAAAGAACTTCGAAGGAACCTTCGATTCTGCAACCACAGGCTCCCACTGTCTGAGCAAACGGGGAATTATTTCAGCTGTATTTGTTTTCTGTGCTTTGTGGACCTCCAGCCACGAGAGGGTGACTTAATC